CATCCTTGAATAGACATGTTATCGAAACGATGAGGCAACGCAGCACGTTGATGCCTCTTCCACGACCACCATACCTCATTCTGATCAAAATTCGAACGTTCGTCGACGGTACTCGCTTGTTGTGACCTCACTCCATCGACCAGCGTCACCACAATTTCAAATCATGATTACGATTGAGGATTGAGGTTGTCGAGCGAAAGAATTTGCGATACGTTGGACGACTGTACGTATATCCGCTTATTTGAATAAAAGGTCAGGTCAGCATCTCGCTTGTCGGACTTTTTATTTCACTCATTCTGGCGGTTGCCTTTTTAAAATATCATTCACGTATACTGTTGTTTGTGACCAGATGGGCTGGTAAAAGAGGGGGGGGGGGGCAGAGCGCGTGCTAGGCCCGTGAGCGCTCCGTGCAAAGGGGGAATATAAGGCTTTGGCGCGACTTTATCAGTTTTCCGCGCAGCGTATTTGCCTGCGACAAAAAACCGGATACGAGTAAATCAGCGCGTTTGAGGCGGCTTTGCGCGATGTGCGGCAGGGGCATGCCTCCGGGTGACACATGGCTGTATTGAACGCGGCAAACACTCCTGAACGACGCGGTGCCGCTGCTGATGGACCCGGGGATAGCCGCGGCGTGCAGCGCGGCGTGCAGCGCGGCGTGGAGCGGGGCGTCCTTGGCGGACCTGCAGACTCGTTTGCGTTTATACACTTGTTGCTAGGCAATTATGACGACGAGCTGGTCGAAAAACATTGCCATCGCGTAACGCAGCTCGGCACTCGGTGGCGACCGGGTCCGATATAGAGAAGAAAGCAGAGCGAGCGACGCCGCCAGAGCGCCAGAGGCGTGGCGGTCCATGGCACAGCCGAGAAGAGATCGTCTGGCGCGGGGAGCGAGCGGCCGGCCCCGTGTGCGCGTAAAGCCCGGCATGGGGACCGGGTGTGTCTTTGAGTACGTTCCAGTGTTGAAGGGATTGCATACTCGCTAGGGCTGCAGGGGCCACGACGCCATACGGACGAAGGGGTTTGGCAAACCCGCCTCATTGGAGCGCATTCAAATAAGGCAGTGTTGTGATAAAAGTTTAGCCAAAAATTCCCACGAGTACCGGGTGTTGCATAAAAGACACAGGTGCGGGCGGGTTTGCCTACCCAAGGGGCTATAGCGCCTTACGGGCAGAGCGGGTAGGCAAACCCGCCCGCACCTGTGTCTTTTTTGCAACACCCGGTACACCTCTGTGGAGCGGGCTGCATCTCCTCATGCCTACTAGGCAACATGTACACACCTGTGTTGAGGAGTTGCGTAGTAGACAGGCGTTAGAATAGATAGAAGCTGCATCTAACGCCTGTCAACTAGGCAACGCCTCAGCACACGTGTGTAAATGTTGCCTGGTAGGCAAGGCACGCGGAGATGCAGCCCGCTCCACACGCAGGTGTATTCGTAGGAATTTTTGCCTAACTTTAATCGCAACACTGTTGAAAGGTATACCCGGTACGTCACACTGCACATCTGCAGGCACCTGACGACACGGATCACGTCGCGACGAGGCCTATCGTGGGTCACATTATTACTCTCGCGTCACCATCGTTAATTTTTCCCCATCAAATTTCGTGCGCGTCGGCGGGCATGCACTTTATGAACGGCGGCAGTCCCCGCGGCCCGGCTCCTTTGCCCGCCATTCAAAGTGTCGAGGCGTGCCGCGAGGTGTGCTTCCCGGCACGGCGCCGCCACGGCCCGGCCCGCGGCTCGGCCGCATCACAATCGTTATGGTGTTATCAGCGAGTCGTGGAAGCGCCGCCCCGCGCCCCGCGCCCCGACGAGCACACGACGCCGGCACACACGCACGACCAACACTCGCGCGCGGGTCAGCGGGGGGACGTGTCGTGTCGGGGGGCGTCGTCGTTGTGGGTGGTGTAGCGTAGCGCGGTAACCACCTCACCCTCAGGGCGTCACCATGCCCGGCCCGGGTCGTGGTGGTGCTTCCTCGGAGGGGGTCGTTGGTCGCTGCTCCGCCCGACGACGGCGGCGACGACGCCCGGGTCCGCGGCGGGACGGTAGCGACGGTAGCCCACTGCCCGCGGCGCCTCGGGCGGCTGAGCCCAGCGAGGCGTCCGCCTGGCATTGTTTCTTTTGCCTTGCAGTCCGTGTGTGGGCGAGGGGCGGGGGCCCGGGGCCGGGGGCGGGGCGGGCAGTAGTGGTGAGCGCTGTGAACGGCCTTCGCCCCGTCTTCCTCTACCTGACAGTCAGCCAGTCAGCTGACGGGCCAGGACTGTAGACGGGCGATAAGAATGTCGTCTGCCGTCGATATCAACCCTACCACCACTACACACCAGCCCGGCGCGGGACCGGTGTTGTGTCGCGACCCCCGACTCCAGTAGACGCCGAGCCCCGAGCCGTCGTCACTCCACCCTAGGGAGACGAGGGAGCTCAACCCCAGCGATGGGGCGACGGGCGACCGTCCCCCGGGCCAAGCCATGGAGGGCCAAGCCAAGCAGCGGCAGGCGCTTGTGATAGGAGGAGGAAGAGGGGGGGGGGAGCTCCTGTTGGCAGTAGATAGCCACCTGAAAGGGAGGCAATTTGAGCTACGAACCCCCTGCATGTAGGCAACTTGCTGCACACCGCCCCCATGAGGCAACCCATCCTGCGCCTGGGCGGCCACGCTGCTGGGCACGCCCCTTCCCCGGCCGTCTAGCAGACTCGCAACGAGCCATATCGGCGACCGCACCGAGATGATGGAGCCGTCGCAGCCCGCGGCAAAGGCCGCCGTTGTGACGCCGGTCCCCGCGTCTGTCGCGACATGACCGCCCGGACGACACCGACACGGCCGACGGCCGGCGCGGCGTGGCAGCACCATCCGCGGGGGCGGCGACCCTTCTCACTAATCCTGGCCGCCTCCTTGTTCTGCACCATCTGCGGCGGCGCGTGGTCGCCTTGCGTGCCTTGCGTAACACCCTTCCCTTGACACTTCCTGCGTTCCGGTCCATGCGTCTGTAGACGCGCCGCGCGGTGAGCCGCGGTGCTCGGCCGAGCGTTGTGCTGCTCGTGTCATCACACTACTTGTGCCGCCCGGGAGCAGCTGGAGGTGCGGGGCGACGGCGCCGCCGAGGGGGTGCGACGGAGAGGTTCTTGCTGGGGTGAAGCGGGGCCCCGCACCACCCTCTCCGCCACTGCCCGGCGAACGCCGCGGTTTTCCTACTGACGTCACACGACTTTACACGGAATCCACGTCGCGCCGGCATCGGCGGGCGCGGCCGCTGGCCTCGAAATGGATTTCTCGAGCGGAGAACAACAGTTGATGCGCGGACGTAAGGGATTGGGATCATAAACGGCGGGATGTGCGGGAGGAGGTGGGCAGAAGACTCGAGAGGGGGGGGGGGGGGGGGGGGGGGGGCACGCGGCGACTTAACGCGCGTGTGTCTTCTACGGTCTTCTCCTATTTCCGGAAAAATGATTGCGTTCTGTTCCCACGCCGGCGCTAGGTCAACGGTAGTGCCTACCGCACCTCGCGTTCGTTGCGAATAAAAATAGCGGGAGGCCGGATTACATTCAAATCGAACTGGTTGACTGAGCGCCACCCCGCCAACCGCTAGAGTACAAGTCGCGGTGCAATGTGTGATGAGGTTACGCCTTCAGAAATTTCTAGACTGTTGGCATCTTTATCTTTTTCTTTTTGATTTTTGAACTTTTGTCGTTATCCGTGTTATATTTTATGGGTGTCACGACTGGCCATTGCTGCGATGTACAGTCCTTTAATGTTCACCACCGAACAAGCGGCGAGCCGAGCCGACCAATGGTCACGACCGACGCGACCGACGCGACAGCAGGGGCGCCAGGCAGGCCGTCAACGACGTTCTGCGTCGGCGTCCCCGAGCGCGGCCCGCACCGACCAAGGGCGCTCGTCAGGGCTGTGTGGCGCCTCGCCGCTACCCTGAGTACGTCTCAATAATAAACCATTCCGGTAAAGCTGACAAGAAGAAGAGTGCGGAGAACAAGAAAACGGAAGTCACCATGTTATAGCATAGTGATTTTCGTTTTCTCGTTCCCAGCATTTCTCTTAATTTCACAATTACTGGGTGGTTCATCCGAGAGTGAAGCCAACTGTGTACCCATGCACTTCTTACTCGGACGTCACCTGCTTTGTTTTGGGAAGCTTTGCGCCAGAGGTCAACATTTCGTTGACGCGGCCAAGGCTTCCATTCCACTCCGCGCTGCTGCTCGGCCCTCCGCCCCACGCCTTCAGCCTTCACGCTCTCGAGGGTGAAGGGCGCGCGCGGCGCTGGATGTGCCGGGCGCGCGGCCTTCTCCCATCGCGCGTTCTTTTCCGAGGGATTTTGGGGTTTCGTGGGTGGTATATGGGGAAGGGGGAGGAGTGAGACAGGGAAAGACGGGGACAGGGGGTGACGTCAGCGTTTGACGAACCCGGTGCGCTGCTGTCGATCGCCCGGGTGACGACATGACTCTTGATGCCACGCGACGCGTGTGGACATCGATATCGAGCCACAAACATTTAATAAAAAAGAAAAACTGATGATTAGATTCCAAATAGACGATGTTCCTACGCTTCGGTCGTTGCGTAAACACATACTATACTCGGTGCGCTCATTTGCAATCGACTAGTCGCCGCTGCCTTGTCAACAAACCTTTACACCAGGGACGACGCATGGAGGGAAAACCGGATGGCGGCGGTCGGGTCGGGCGACTATCCGGATCGTAAAGCACAAAACAAGTTTATCCGGATTGTGAGCGCAAACAAGTATTTCTTTTTTCTTTATTTTTGTAATGCACGGCGCGTTCTGCGTCACTGACTGGCTGATCAATGAAACAACAGCTACAAAAAAAATAATTCAAAAACAGTTTAAAAAGTAATGCAACGAGTAATTCTATTTTATTCTTGTCTTCCCCCTGGGAACTAATACAGTCCGTGCCCCAGATACACGCTTGCTTGTTGCAGTTTTGACACCTCATTACAGGGTGGTGCGCACTTGCGCTTGCGTGGTCCAAGAAGATGAAAGGACACGAAGTAATAGTCGAGCATCCCAGCGATTCACGAAGGAGTTAAGGCGCAAGACGCAACCCCCCACGTCCCAATCCGTGATTTGCGATAGGCTATTGTGGGTCCGCCCACGTACCTACTCAAAAGAACTGGGTAAGTCAGGGTAAGTGGACCACCCTGTTTGTATACCATACAGGGAAGTGGAATTCCCTTTGCCAACGAGGCGACGTTCATTCGATCATATTTGATGCCCATATACGAGAGTTGCGAAGCTAATTTGGGTTGCAGGAACTTTGTCTTCCGTATAATTTGTTCTAAAGGACGAAGGTAGAGGACGAACTAGAATCCCGAATCACTTCTCATATCTACAACCATGGTTGCGGGTAGTTGCGGGTTGCATGTGCACGGTGATAGGGACTGCGGTCGTGGCGCTCTCTAGCGGGAATCACCTGAAGCACAATGAGCGCACTGCAGTAAAGCAACGGCACGGCCCGGTAGCAGACGCCGCTTTTTCTTCTGCTCGTGCAAGCACTGCAACGAAGGGACACATTTAAGTAAAGATTGTAGAAATGCTAGTTTAGTACGTTAAGCAGTAAGCTGGGTTTTGAATTTAAAATATAGGAACATTGAAATCTGGCTGTCCCCCCTCTAGTTCATCCTTATTTGATTTTACCCATCACCTTTCGACGGGGAGAACCTTATCACAATTGTAAACAACCGATTTGTCAATGTGCTGCTGTCCTTTATTATTTTGCTATTACTTTGTTGTGACTTGCATGAAAATAAATCATTCGTTACTATTAAGATACACCTTGACCGTACACTGTGTAGTCAAACTAACTTAGAGCAACGTAAGGTGAAATAAACATAACCTGATTAATTTTTATCTTTGTTTTTTTTATTTATTTATTTACAGAAAATGAAAGGAATGGATCAGAAACTCTTGTATGCTTTCCGTGGCTGGATAGCATTTATTGCTTTCATGGACATGGGCACTGCTGTAAGGTGTCTAATTGAAAAACGATCAATTCTTGGGGAGCATTCCTTTACAAAGATTGACAATTTAACCCAGCAACGGGGTAATGTATACTTAAAATATTGCTCCATGAACTAAAATCATCACTTTCTGTTCACCTTCACCTCTCTTTTTCAGACGATTCTACCCTCCCAAGGATCTTAGGGGCTTACTCCGTTCTGAAAGCCTTGGCACTTATTCACTGTACATTGTACATTCATTACAAACCGTAAGTATACTCCCTTATTTTAAACCTTTTACATGTGAAGCATGCTCACTAATTTCTGCCCTATTTCTTACTTTCTCCCTGGCAGTGTTGTGAGCATGGGCATTTGTTCTCTTGTTCTTACCCTCCTTGTTTACATCTCTGAAGCCCTGTACTATCAATCCACAACATTTAACTTCTATGTACTTTTTCCATGTGTTATAAATGGTAAGAGAATTAGTACCATCTGAGTAGAGATGAGTGAACTTCAGCAAGAATATAATGTGTTCTTTTTCTGATTCCTTCCAGCATTAACTCTTCTAGGGCTCTGGTTTTTGCCTCGTCGTCTACTTGAAACTGAGCCAGTTACCACAGATGAAAATGCAGAACTTCTCCGAATGGCTGGTGGTATGAGGAGGAGACGACCACACAAAGTGAAGGATAATTAATCTCCTTACCCCTCAAAGACATCAGTATATATACTGATTACTTTAACACAAATATTGCAATTGTGTTAATACATTACTTTGACATGTTTTCCTAGTTTTTCTAGTCTGTTCCTAGTCAGAACTAACCACCTATAACTTATAGACATAGAAGTTTTTGTTATGTTCCCTTTTGATCGGTCTTAATATTTCTTCATCTAAACTTAGTTATTCGTAGAAATGTTTCTAACAGTAATTTTCTTTTAAGCCTTTAATTTTCTTGTCGAGTTTTTATTTTGTACTTTTTGGGAGGTTTGTGGTTTTATTACTCTTTTATTTAAATTATTGAGTGCTTTTATTGTTACATCATCAATTTAAAATGTTAAACAATTCCATTTTTCTAGCTTTACTATCTTGCATTTGTGAATAAGTGTTTCTTTTCTGTAAGTGATAGCACATATCAAGAGTTAAGGTGCAGAAATATAGCAGGAATGAGGCGACGTTAAAGTTTGTTGAGCTAAAAAAAAATTGTAGCATGGACCAATTTTTGAATGATTTTGTACCAAAGTTGTGTAAGAAGTTCACATCCCCTCACGCTGACAAATTTCGTAGTCCTGTATGTTTTTAACAAGCTGTTGTGCTTATGTGAAGATGAATTCATCAAGTTAAGTCTCATACATAGTTATGACTGCATTGTTATCCTGTTGTCAGATTGGACAGCTATATTTTAACTATTATTTGATATTTGTTCATTAATGGACATCCTTATGCTAAGGCTGATTGAATTCTAATAGGTGTTCATTTTACTTAAAAGTGATGTGTTATTTGCTTAGAATAGTGGGCATTCTTGTGATTTCTGCTCAAGTTTACAATTTTCTTCTAGTCATAGAAGTTTGCAAGCAATAATACTTAGTAATTAAATGAATGCAATTTGTAGTCAAGCCATACTAATTACATTTCTGATTGGAATGCATCCTGTGATAGATCATGCTCATGTTAATGTAGAGTAGTCTGAGTAATGTAGAAAGATTAGTTGTTTCCGATGAAACATAATTAGTTAGGAAGGTAGAATTCATGAGCATTCTATTCTGAAGGGTATTAGCTAATACACTATAATATAAGAACGTCCACATGTCCCATTTGCTGTTCATGTTCAGATGCCTGTACTACAGGGTAAAGGAATGAGGTGACTGAATTAAATTACTTGTCAGGGAATTCTGTTACAAAGACCAATGAACAAACTTTGCCTTGTAAGGCCTTGTCGAATGATAGAGCTGATTCTTTTGCAATGTTTATGCCGGACTAACAGTCAACTAGTTTGTTTACCGTCATTTCATTCTATCTATCTTCTAACATTATTCTGGCAAACATAACACATTATATTTTCAAATATGAGTCATGTATAGAGAATGGTTTCTAGTCTCACTGATTTCTCACTCTTTCATGTAACTTTTTTCTTCTTTTGTTGATTGGATGAGTTTTTACTTGAACTCCCAAAATCTCAGTTGATCTCATACCTTCATATATGTACTGGCAAAACCAGTTGTGTTGCTACCTTAATTTTAATTAACCGCTCAAGTATACAGCCTGAGCGAATTTCACCTAAAATGTGATTTAAACAGTTGAAATATTTTTCTTCTTGATTTTTCTTTTCTGTATCTCAAGCACAAGCTCCCTACTTTGTTAACAAATTAGAAGAAATGAATAAACTCAAAATCTGTAACAAACAATATTTTATTCCTAATTTTCCAGACAATTCATTGAAGAGTTAATATTTTAATACAACCACAAACATAGCAAATCAAAACTTAAATTGAAGAAAATGTCTCACATAAAAAAATTTCATTGAAGCAGACAAATCTCTAGAACATACTGCATTTGTATTTAAAATATACATTGCACCTCTAAAACATCAAAATGTACAGTGTAGCACACAACCTCAAATATTTAGCACTAGCCTTCCATAATAACTTTGAGCAGCACAATCTCCAACATCTGCAACGCGTATTGACAAACTTACTTAAAACAAACGTGGAACATGCATGTATGGATTTTAATTTAATTTTGTCTTCATCACACAGAATTGCTCAAAGTAAAAAGGACAAAAGAGTTACTCAAAAACTCAACAGGTAATGTGATGGAGAGTTAATGTTAAAACAGCTCTAGGAGCTAAAAATACAAAGAATGCAGAACATTAAGGGAATGTGGAAACTCACTTGAGCTTTACAGCTACTAATCACATCATTAAAATTGTACCTATGCTATGTACATTCGATTCTATGGAATATGCATAAGATTCATACTTTCACAAAATACAGATTTTAAAAAATGTACATTTACATCTACTGTAGAGAAGATGTAGACTACTTGTAAATACAATTGGATCAAAGCTGCATTAGGAGAAAAGAAATATGATACAAAAACATAAATATTGGATTTGACACAGTGAATAGAGCACTGAAGAGTTCTATCAACCAACACCTGTTTACATGGCAGACGACCAATGTTTAATGATAATGATGGAGGGAGAGTGAAAGCACATCTAAAAAAGAGGAATCAGAATGAAAATTATCATTAATTGTATCGTCAGTCTTTAAAACAAGCTTTCTGTAATACTGCACATGCATAAATATTACCGTATGTTTTGCATGAATTCCTTTCCTTTCATTTTTTGAGAATAACTACATAATTTGACACCCCTACAAAAATATTATATAGAGAAACAGAATCTGGAGATTTAGATTAGATAATTTTTCAAGTATACATACAAGAACTTTTGGCACCTAAACGAATTAAAAACAAAAAGTGCCTTTCATTCATTCATTAAAGCCTACCTCACACACAACCTAAATTTAGTCATGGTCCAAGAAATAAAACAACAACTGTATTGCAAATGGTAAAGTAACAGAAAAAATTGCTGAACAGTTCATAAACTATAATCAGTCATCAAACAAAATCCCCAAGAAGAAACCATACCCTTCACATGCAAATCAGGAAGCAACAACTGAACAAAGTTCATAGCAGGATGTATCAAGAGCCAAAACTACTCCATTTTAAAAAAAAAAAAAAAGGAATTTGTACTGCAAACAGACGACTACACTTAAAAAATTTAAAATGACAGAAAATTCTGACTTGTATTTCTCTGACAGGTCAAAATAAATCAAATAATTAATAGCCATTCAACAATCAAAATACATATTATGAATACTTTCCTATGATATGGTTGTAACAATTTGTGAAGGACAGGGGCACCTCAAAAATGCTACATACTTTAAGTGAAATAGTCATACCTTAGAGATACATAAACAATCTGTGTATAATTAATTATTTCAGAAATATGTTTAATCACAATGGCAAATCACATGCAGTATGTGAAATGTCCGTAAATAAAATCTAGAAAGTTGTCTCACTGTAAGTAAAACATGCCACATCATAAACTCTTCCAGATGAGCATGTTGCTGTAACGATCTATGTCTGAAAGAGATCTGAAGTTTTTTGTACAAAAATATTTCAATTGAAAGATTTACTATACTCCATAAGATAAATGAATAAATTTAGCTCTTAAAATGAATGTTTAAAAGTAATAAACAAAGAATGAAATGTTTCACTCATGGAATTGACAAATTAATTACTGTATAGAGACATTTACAGGAAACAAAAACCTGCACATTACTTTCAATGCTGAGAACTGATGTATTCGTGCCACTCAATGTAACCATCCCCATCTTTGTCCATTTCTCTAAGAATGGGGTCCACCATATCCTCAAGATCCTTGTCAGTGTGGGAAACTGGTGGATGATGATCAGAATGATGGTCAGAGCCTTCTGTAGAGCTTTTTGCATCTTCCTCTGTTTGAAAGAGGGGAAAAGGAGAAAAAATATTAAAATTACCTGAAGCAGACACATACAATCAAACTGTAACAAAACGATCCCAAGCAACTACATATGATCTACTAACAATAAACCAAAAATATATTAAATAGGATACATAAAGTCTATCAACAAAGCATAGCACACAGAGAGAACATAAATCTTATTCCTATTTTCCATAATTCTAACGATTCTGAAAAGAAAAGAAAAATAAGAAGCAGGGTACCAGCCAAGACAAACATGCAATCATGAACTAAAGTGTAATAATGACACCAAATGTGCTAAAATTTCCATGCAATAATGTTAAAAAATGGTTAACCTCTAGTAAAGCAAAAGATGCAGATGCATACTACATTAAGATACAAAGCTGAGAGCTTCAAAGGAATGCAAATATGGCTGTTATGTTAAACTGATATGCAGGAGGTAAAAGCTCTCCAGTTTGATGAAAAGCAAAATTCATTGTGCAAGTAACCTTTTACCAGATATCAACACTTAAGTGCCCCAAAACGCATCCTCAAATAATTAATCACCTTGCTGAAGTGTAGCCTACTGAAGAGGCTATGACCGTGGAGCATTTGCACCTGCAGCAGCGGCCTTGTTCTGAGCACGGACAAATTCAGGATAGTCAATGAAACCATCGCCATCTGCATCATCCATGTTCATTATGGGATCAATGAGAGCAACAAGCTCATCATCCTTGAAGATCTTCTCTTGTGGCGGTGGGTGCGCATGTTGAGCAGCTGGTTCCTTATGACCCTGTTCTGATATCCGGCACACACACACACGCACACATAAAAATCACACACTAAACTCATTGGAAAGCAGACATCACTCTGCAAAGACAGCACAGAAAGCTACAACACCCCACAAAGTGGCACTTGCTTTTTCATTCAAAGAAGCATAAAAAATGCTAAGCGCACTTTGCCTTAATTTCAATCTAATCAATTGGTCACCCAACACTTTAGTAGATTTACTCACCATGCCAGTGGATGAGTGATTTAATAAGTTCACAGCCATCTAGTTTATTATTGTTATCTGCATCATGCATTTTGAAATAATGGAATTGAAGTTCTTGATCAGTCATTTTAGATGTATCTATTGGAACCTCCATGTGCTCTTGAATGTGCCTGGATTAAAAATAAATAGAAAGCCTTTCATAAGCACAAAATTAAAATAAAATTGGTATTTAAAATCAAATTATATAAAACATACTGCTTCTCTTGGGCAATGTTAGCTGCATTAAGGATTTGAGGATTTCCATGGTGGCCTTGTGCATGTCCATGAGCTTGACCATGTCCAGGTTGTGCGTGCTGCACGTGTTGCTGTTGTGGTATGTGCTGCTGTTGAGGGACATGTTGCTGTTGCAGTGGCACCTGCTGAGGCACTTGGTTATGCACTTGTTGGTACTGCTGTTGAGGAACTTGCTGCAAAATCAATACTAAGTTAAAAGGGAGGCAATGTAAAAGGTTTAGTTATCGGTAGACAATATTTTTGGAGCTTGAAGACAGAGGTTGAGACAAGAACCATAGCAAACAAACCTGCATTTGGGGGACTTGTTGCATGTGCATTTGCTGTTGGGGTACGTGCTGAGGAACATGTTGCATTGGATCCTGACAAAGCGAAAGAAAGCACAAAGCAAAAAGACAGAGAGATTAGTGCTTCTCGACAATTCAGAGTGAAAACAAAACAATTAAGAAAAGAAAAGAAAGACAAAATATTGAGACAAGAAAATCCCAGAAAGTCAAGTAGGAAAACAACAAGAGTAGCACAAATAATTGGAATGAAAATGACAAAAGACAAAAAGCACTTAAAAGCAATCATTGTACGTTTATAGAGGCTGTCAAAAATATGGCTCTTCCTCCTTTCACTTGCAACTAATGATAAATGGTACAATAACTAGAACTGGATCACTAACCTGGTACTGCTGGGGAGGAACACCTGGTGCTACCCGTTGCTGCGCATTACACAATGAAAAAACGCCTAAGAGTAGGACACAAAACCCAGCTGTTTTCATTGTGAAGCTGAAACAGAGAAATATGTTGATGTACACTTGGAAAAGCAAAAAGAACAATACGTTCAAAAACCCATGTTTCCCATATCATGCTATTGTGGTTCTCTAAAATATACATTCAGCTGTTCCATGAGAAAAATCGGGTAAAAGAAATACCACTGAGGTATTTGCCTTTGACAGCGAAGAAGCAGAACGTCTTAACCTATCAAAAATGTACCATATTGTCTTCCTACCCAATGTTACGAAACAAGAGTAATGAATGCAAAATATACATGAAGAGAAAGAGTACGTTTTGAAGCAAGCAATCATTGACAATGACTAGTACCATTCACTAAAACAGAGCAAACGCATTAACAAAGTTCTCACCTGGCCGGTAACCTACGTGTACAGTGTACAAGCACAACCAGACCAGACGATGTCTTTCCGCCCGCTGAATGTCCACTTTCTCCTGCTGCGCTGACTTGTCATACAAAAACAAAAAACAAAACAGCATTCACTTACTCTTTATCAATTAATAAAGAAAAATCTATATCTTAGGTATCAGTTGCAAAGCAAACGAAGGGTAACAAAAAGAAAACAAAACTATCTCCTACACCTCAAGTTATTGAATATTGATGTGACTTGATCGCGGTATGTTCTTGGTCGTGGTTGGTACTCCTGGTGGAATCAGAAGCGCGAAGAAATAGACAAGAGCGGGCGACTGTCAAAGATGTCACATGCCATTCCTAAACCATCGTACCCTTCTTTTGGTAAACACAAATGTATTCTTGTCATTTTTGGTTGTTCGTAAGTCACAACTAACTTGGGAAAACAATCTTTGAGAAGTAAAAGAAAATTGATGTTGCAACTAAACTCTTGTTTGCATGCTGTTCCACAATGAATTTGGTTATTGTAGATGGAGGCTCCTTTGATCCTCTTCTCCTGCCCCCTGCCCTTCCTCACTCTTGTCCCCCTCAAAAAACAAAATCCCCCGTCCCCCTCCTCGAACCGCGCTCAGGGTCATGCGGGTAGAGGAATGGTGTTTTACGCGAACAGTGTTCTAGTCGTTATGTTTCTATTTTTGGCCGGCCAAAAGGCTGGGGTGGGAGAGGAGAAAAGGATAGCGGGGGAGAGCGGGTGGAGAGTCGAGAGTAGGAAGGGATGGAATAATGGAGAGGGAGAGAAAAGTGTTGGTCAGGAGGGGTGTATGTGTGTGTGTGTGAGAGAGAGAGAGAGAGGGGGGGGGGTGGTAGCGCACCCATGGCCAGCGGGTTTGTTTGTTTGGTACTTTCAACTTCAAATTCAACAATAACAATTGGCTTTCAGACGCTCCCTGTTTTTTTGCCAGTTTTGCATCAGTAAGTGTGGATTCAGAGTTCACGAAACACAAGCGTTATTTTCACGCTTCGTAAGCTTCACGCAGCCAATCAGGGATCGACTTTCATCACGCCGGGCGTGAAAATCACGCTTTGCGTGAGAATCACGCTCACTTTTAGTGAACTCCGAATCCACCTTAATAAGTGGACATTTAACGTCCACGAGGCTGTACAGTACAACCTGCGGTCACGGACTTACGAGGGGACGCGACGGCCCAAACTCTTTCTCTCCCCGTTTACAAACCTGAGAGCCACGTTGTCCTCGTTCGCGTTGCTCGGTCACTTCCACCGCGGCTTCTCTGTCTCCGTCTACTGCTCACGTTCCGTCTCGAGGAGACAGAGACACAACAGGTGCCGCGGTGAGACAGCTTGACCCCTCCCTCTTCTCTGTTCTGCTTACTCACAGAGAAAAGGTGTCACGACACCCCGCGAGAAAATGTGCGAGGGAGAGCAAAATGGAAAAAGTGGAAGAAACAAAGAGAGAGGTAAAAGGATACGGAGGGTGCACAGCGCAGGAAGGGTAACGAGGAGAGGTGGCAGGGAGCGGTGGGGG